AGATGGAAGATGGACAGAGGTGAAATTAAAGCTTTCAAATCAAATAAAGCGAGACATCACTGCAGGAACCGTTTTAAACCTGCCGGCTGTTTCTTCACAATGCTTTTGGTGATGGTAACATGTTTAGTGAGACAGAATAGGAAGGTGGAGGATTAGAAGGATGACATCATGAAAATGGAAAGCAATGAACGGAGTGTGGTGGGGGGGTTACTGAGAGCCTTGACCTGCAGTATGACACAGTGTTCATCAACTCTGAGGCTGTGGTCACTAAAATGGTAGGGCTTTCTCAACAACTTTACATTTTTGCAGAAGTGTGTCTCTGGGAGATTATGTTATCAAAATGTGTGCAAGTTGCACTGCAGGTGTGTAATACAGCACATTTTCACACAGAGCGATGAGGCAATGCAGAGCAAGGGTTCAGGAGAAAGGAAAAAAAAAAGGGTTCCACAATTCATATTCACATTTGTTATCTTCTATAATTTTTTGGATTTATCCTCTTACCACCATTGTGTTTTAGCACATGCTTCTCCAATCAGCACCGTTACCATCATCAGATGAAAATAGCCCTGTATGTCCAAGTACAAAAGCATGTTGGCAAGTCTCTGTGAGAACTGACTTGAACATGCAGACTAAATTATAGGAGATTTTATGGGCCTATAATGTGGTAACACAACACTGCTAAAACAGCAGGTGATCAAAGTGACAGGTACCCGTTATCTGCACAGCCAGATAGAGGAACAATAAACAGTGTAACCGCCAGCAGGTGTGACAGCATGATAACCATAAAGCTGACACCATGCATGACAAGCGATGATCTCACCCTATTAGTTCATGTCTATTCTGTCCGTTGGCCTATTTCTGACCAATCTTGCCCAATCTAAAACACACACACACACTCATGCTTCTCTTCTGGCTGCAGCACAGCCTTTGTGGAGCTGAGAGGGCCATGTGTGCAATGATGTCATGTTGGAAGGGAGGGAGAGGGGGGGTTACATTGAGATGCTAATGTCCCCTCATAGTGTAGGGGACAGCTGGAGGGCCACAGAGGGATGGCGTCATGTCATCCCCCCCACTCCAGGGCTGTTTAGGTGCTTGTTGGTGTGTTTGCCTGGAGCACTTTGCTCCACCCTTTTCCTTTTTATCCATATTGATAGACAAGGTAGAAACACCAACTGAAATCTACATAAAAGATTTTATTGTGATGTGGAGCTCATGTTAAAAATATATGCCAGGCAGATGCTGCATGAGGAGTTTTTATAGTTAGCAGTTTTTATTCAAGTGATGAGACAAGTAAAAATCAAAGGTATTTGAAAATTCATGAAAGCCCCTTTTCGGGTTCAATTCTATTCCTTTTTGCTGAGCCTTTCAAAAATGAATACTGCTCTAAAATGGAAACATGCCCATTATCAAAAAGACACTTCACTGGATCAGTTACATTCAAGAGAAATCCATCAGCATTTAGTCAACAATCCACTGTATTTGCAAAGCTTTGACCAGCACATCCCGATTTTAGCTGATTTTACTTATAATAAGAAAATGTAAGGACTACTAAAGATATATGTTTACAGCCTTTCTGCCATGTAGCTATCATTAATTATTTATTCTTAGAGCAGTGATGACGTTTGTGAGGGAGCAGTTACTGTGAATATGATGTTGCTATTTTGAAAGATAAAATTATTTAAAAGGTGGACATTTTTAGCTGTCTTTATCATTTTATTTAAGCGATTTTCCAAGTTGGAACAGCTAGCATAACCAAAAAATAAAAGCCTCTGTTTAAACTGCTGAGAGTATGGGAAGCTTCTTTACTCTCACTTTGATATTGCCAGAAGACTGTAACTTTGCTGCACTCTGGGAAGCCTTCAAGCTATCCGCTGGAGCGTTGCGCTCTCTCACCCCCGCCCAGCTTGGGGAAAGAAAAAAAAAATGTAGAGATCCCTCTAACTTTTCAAGAAAACATCTCTCCTTTTTTTCAGCAATTGTTATTTTCCTAACTTTATTTTTAGACATATGACACAGAATTAAGCTGATTTTTAGTCTTCTTTCTGCAGCAACGGCCAAATGCTACGTAGCAGGTCATGGTGGTGGTTATCGGAAAAGAAGAGGATTTTTAGTTTTCATCTGGCCAGTCTGCATTAAGGGCCAGTTAAACTAAAAAAATACAAAAAAAAACAGTTTCTGCTTAATCTCCAGTTATTACTATGGTCTAGAAAGTAGCATATGAGGTAAAGTCTCAGCCAAACTAACACTTTTACTCATTTTCTTCTCCATGATACTGACAAATGAGCTGTTACTCTTCTCTAAATGCTTTTCCATTTAACCTTAGAGCTTCATTTTCTTTTCAAACTAAAACTTGATTATGAAATTACTGATTTTATTTCTCAATGTAACACTTTTCATTTCTTATCCAGAGAATCTTTGTCAAACCTAAGGAAAGGATGCAAATGAAAGTGTTTCCCACAAGCAAACAAAGAAGGCCTGAGTTGTTGGCTTCAGAGAGGAAAATAATAAGTTGCATAAATGATGAAGTGGGCAGTGAGGAACGGAAAAAGGATGCCGATGGCGACACAGTGCCCTCTTTCCTGGTTGTGTTTTCCTTCTTGCCAGAACATTTCTTACTTTTTCTTTTTTTCTGTTGGACAGTGTTTGTTCAGAACTTGTTTGGTCACATCCTGTCAGAGTACATTTTCATGACTCCAGCGTGACAACTTTTCCTTTTCCAACAGAGAACACTTGTGTTCATTTTCTAAATGCATTTATTTTTGCCTTTCGGCGCGTTTAGTTCATCTTTTGGGTTCAACGCAATAGGATGTTGCTTTTCCTCAATAGCACGCTGTATTAAGGGTGAACTCACCGCTTCGTATGTAACTTCCTGATGTCATCCCCATGTACAGGGTTTTTCTATGACTCCATTGTGAGTGTACTATTTGTTTAGTTTGGAATGGACTCATCATTTACATGTGGTGACTATTTCACCATGACTTTAGACCTTTTTGGGTATTACCGTATCCATTATGGTGGATTATTTTTTTTTTCCTTTCTGTTTTGGTGCCCTTTAATAGGACACGTCAAACCAGCTGTCATCAACTTCTCTGCTTTTCCTCATTGTCATGGCAGCATAAGTAGAGCCGGTTCAGGTGACGAAGTGCCACTAGCACGCTATCTCCTCTGTGACTAATGCCCATTAGAGGCAGCGGTGTAAATCTTTGACCACAGGAAGGTGTTTTGTAATTGACGTAATGCCTCTGTAATGTAATCGCTCCTAAAAAAGCAGGCTAGTGCACTCATTCTGGCTCCTTATCTCTGACTCTAATCCTTTTCTGTGGCAGTAGTCACCGTCTCAGTAGCACTCTCTGCTTTTTAAATGTTAACACAGGACAAAGTCCACTGCAGTAATTATAAATCCAGATCAAAGAGTGCATGCAAATACACACACACACACACTTTCTCCTCATCCACTAAATATGTGGAACATCCTGTCCGTAGACCTTCTAACAACTCTCTAACAATTTCTGCACACAAAAAGGGAAGCGGTTGCCGTCTGACATGAGGGTTTGTTTTTTGCTGTTGATTTATCTGCCTGCAGGAATGCATCATTTCCTCAAACACATACAGTACACCCTATTTATCATCTATTTTTGTGTATATTCTGTGACAAAGGTTCCCTGGGAAAAGACAAACGAGAAGGAAGCCCTTCTAGAAGCATTTCCTCTTCTGTTTTATCAATTAGAGGGAGGCTCTCTGTCACAGGGAGGCCTAAAGCCAACTATTTCAGCACATTAATGCTTGTTCTAGCATGACAGCCCACCCTCAGCTTCTACGTTAAGTTTTTCCACTTAAATCGTTATCTGATCATTCTGTTTGCATCTATCCATCTCTGCACTCCACCCCCCTCTACCAAGGAAAGCAGTGATGTCATCGCTCTGCCGGTTGCCATTAATAGCTGGAAACAGACAGGCCTTCTTTGCTTTGCTCTTAAAGGCACAGTGAACCTAAAACAGCACGAGGTCATGTTTTTTTTTCATGCTGTCCTGAAGTGAATATTTCTTATTCATGTAGGAGAGCATGTCCTTACATAATGTTTCCTGTGTTCATTAGCCACTTTCTGCATCTGGGTACAATTGGACCTGCTTGGATAGACAGTTTCACTTACTGCTTCTAGCAGTGATGTCATGTCTCATTCAAGCTCACCCTGTGATCATATGTGTTTTTAACGTTCGCTCTACATTCCAGATTTGGTCCGGCAGGGCTGAAACTAGATTAGGTTCTAATCTCCTTCTCCGGTGCTCAAAGGTTTCCTTGAAGCCCTCCCTTTTCCTTTCAGCACTTGGCAGCGAGGTCATTACCCACTCCTCAACACACACTCTCCTAAATCCTCACCCTGTTTCCTACCTTATAGTTATACAACCACACTGCTGCAGAGTAATTATGATTATTATGAGGATATGTGTGTGCATGTGTGCTTGCATTAGACAGAGAGACTATAAAAGCAAGTGAGAGTGGATTTTAAGCATATGTTGAAAACCAGATTATGCTCTCCATGTGTTAATATGTGTGTGTGTGTGTGAGGGGTGTGTGGGTGGGTGTCAGTGGGATGTTTCTAGGCCTCTGTCCTGGGCCTGCACCTGTGGCCTCTCTCATTCCCTCAGCCTGACGCAATGCACTGCTACAGGACATGAGCTCATGCAGGAAACAGAGCCACACACATTCACATATGCCAAAAGGGGAGCCGCCTGCCTCTTAAAGGGCCAGACGTGCATTCCTGGCCGCCCAGCAGTTAACCCAAGTTGCACACAGAAGCACAGAGAGCCTCTTTTCTTTTGCTTCTGTTTTCACTAAGCTGGAACCAGACATTGTAGCCTAGATTTAGCTTCCAAATGCCTATTGAACGTCTGTCTGCCGTGCTAATGGTGACGAAAACGGAGTTTCCACTGTGTTATGTGACTACGCTGTGGAAAATCATTAAATCACCTAACCGGTTCTTGCCTTCTCTGTCTCTGCAGGAGGTTTTGCAGCTTTTTCCTCCTGTTTCCCCGGCCTGTGCGAGGGGAAGCCTGCCACTGCACTCCCTATGAGCTTGTCCCAGCCCTGTTTGCCTGTGGCAAATGTAGGACCTACTCGCATCCTTCCACACCTCTACCTGGGTTCACAAAAGGATGTTCTCAACAAGGTGAGATTTTCTCCATAATGGTGAAAATTAGCCTAACACTAATCCAAACAACCATACTTAAACTTAAACCTCTTTTCATCCTATCTATACAGGAACTGATGGCTCAGAATGGCATCACCTATGTGTTGAATGCAAGCAACACCTGTCCCAAACCAGATTTCATCAGCGAGAACCATTTTATGCGTATCCCAGTGAACGACAACTACTGCGAAAAACTTCTGCCCTGGCTGGACAAAACAAATGAGTTCATAGGTAGGAGAACTTTGAACTTTAGGTAAAGATTAGCAGAGCAAAACAAAACCATGAAAGCTTTCTTTGCCGGAGAGTTAATTCCTCTCCTGTGGTATCCGAACAGCATTTCTGGATGTTATCACAGTGAAAATGCGTTTTAGGTACATTCCTAGATGTTAAAGTAAATCCAGCTCATTGAAACGGGATGAAATATTTGGTTGATGAGACGAAATGGGAATTTAGAAATATTTTATGGAAGCCTAATAATCCTATTTCATTTTGCCATCTCAAATCATGTGTTTTTAAAAACAGGCCCTCTGTAGGAACCAGACAGCTTTGAAATACTTTGAAATACTAGTCATGTTAGGGCTTTAGACTGTTGCGTAAGTATCTACTGTTTTTGTTCATTAAAACTTGCTTTTTTCTGCTCCAAACAGACAAAGCTAAGGTGTCAAACTGCAGAGTGATTGTGCACTGCCTTGCTGGAATCTCACGATCAGCCACCATCGCCATTGCTTACATTATGAAGACAATGGGCTTGTCATCTGATGATGCTTACAGGTATGTTTGTGCCTTCCAGCCACCTCCAGCTAAGCTAAGGTGTCATCTTTAGAGAAAAGATGAGTCCTTGCTGAAAGAAGAAATCCTAGTTATGTTAAGACAGTTTCTAGGTTACAGTTTAACAAAAGTGTTTGCTTTGCCCTGAAAGGACAAAGCAGTTTAATGCATATTGTTCATCAGTACAATAGTTGTTCCTCAGTTGACTTTAGGCTATATTGTATTCATTTTATTAGTTTTTCGTTCACTAATTTTTTGAAAACTCTTGTTCTTCCCCATAGGTTTGTAAAGGACAGGAGGCCGTCCATATCCCCCAACTTTAACTTCTTGGGTCAGTTGCTGGAGTTTGAGAAGGGCCTGCGGTTACTACAAGCTTTAACCACTGACGACAAGAAGTCTGAAAACAACTCCAAACAAAGCTCAGATATTAATGGTGTCTCTTCTGGATTGGAGATCAACGGTCATCTCAACAGCAGTGACTCATCTGTAGCAGATCATCACGCCCAGACTGAACCCAAACTGCCATCTCCCACCTCCCTCCAGCAGGGCTTTAATGGCCTGCACCTCTCCGCAGAGAGAATCATGGACACTAACCGGCTCAAACGCTCCTTCTCTCTGGACATTAAGTCTGTCTACTCTCCTAACAGTTCACATTGCCCCAGCATGGCACCCACTCATTCTGAAGACATCCCCAAATTGTGCAAACTTGACAGCCCAGGGACAGGCACCTCCAATGGTGTCTGCTCACAATCGCCCATCCTAGACAGCCCCGGCTCATTCGATTCTCCATTCCCCTCACCAAGCAGCGGGGGCAGCATAGGTGGTTTGGGTGGAAGTGATGGTGTCCATCGGTCTGGTACCTCCTCATCCAGATCCAGACGAAAAACCAAGCACAGCTGTGGCACTTCTCCGGTCCATTCGCATCCACATCATCCTCCACAGACCCTCAGCTTGTCACTGGACCACAAGAGCCCAAGCCTGGAAGAAAATCTTAGGGGCTCCCCGCTGCTCTCACTACCCTCCCTGCCGACTTTAGGATCTGGGGCTATGTGGACCAAACACAGAGACACTGTTCAGGCTACAACTCCCGTCACCCCAGTTACTCCAACCACAGATGCTCCCTGGCATTTTGGAGCAGAAGAAGGTGGCAAGGGAGAAATGGAGCTGGGAGGAGAGGAGGGAAGGGTAGAGGAGTCATCAGTCCGCTTTGGTAGCAGCTCGGTGTACATGGCGTTTGGGTGCAGCGAAGGCGCAAGGTTACGGGACAAATCCCAGAGGGAAAAGTCATTGGTGTCTCAGACTCAGAGGGATCACTGGGACTCCACATCCACGAGCTCCAGCAGCAGTGTACCTGCATCAGAACAGTTTAAGCGGCGCAGCTGCCAGATGGAGTTCGAGGAGGGAATTTCTGAGACGAGAGCCAGGGAAGAGCTGGGGAAAATTGGAAAACAGTCAAGCTTCTCTGGAAGCATGGAGATCATTGAAGTGTCCTGACAGATAATGGACCTGATCCAAGCTGTCCTGTTTGGACAAAAAATGGACCTGTTTCTAAAGGGAGTGCAAGAAAAGGAACAATGAGATGGAGCAGACGAAGGTTGTTGGGATTTTTTAAAGCTCCTCTCCACAGACAGTGTTAAAGACTCCAACTGAGAGAAGGACAGATTCAAGCTGAGAGTTAATGTGAACAGTTTGCAAACCTGGACTGACAGAGCCTCAGATGTGGTGTTTAGGTAGCCATACTCATCCTCTTACAAATTTGAGGGAAGCGCCTGGGGAAAGGGGAAATGAAGGTGTGACTGTTGGTACTGCAACTTTTATTTATGTGATCTCCACCACAGGTTAAAGGATATCACCCCAAGCACACATTGCATCCTATTAAATAGAACTTCCTGATATTCAGACTCATAATGTTTGCCTGTGGTTAAATGTAGTGTGTGCTTCCGTGGGTGTACAGCTTGTGATTTGATCCGAGCCCCATCTTTCGTCTCAAATCTCCATCCCCGTATCAAAGAACCTCAGAACCATGCACGGCTCCATCCGCCCCACCACCAACTTCCTACTTGTGGCTTTTTCCGCCCCAAATGCTGCAAAACAACACCAACAACAGCAGTGGACTCCTTAATAGTCTCCTTCTATTATCACAGCACAAAGCAGAGAGGTCCAACAAACTTGACTTAAAGACGGTACTGCAGTCAAGTGACGAAGGATCCTCTACATTCTGTCGAAGAAAGGACTAGTGTCAATGGACGGTGTGTCCCTCCAAAGCACAGTGCATCTTTCCTGACTTTAGCTCCTTTTGTTTCAAATGTTAACAGCATGACGAGACCAAGGTTTTTGGATCCTCCTCCCCCCCCAGGCCTTTTCCCACTGAACCTAGCCACCATCTATGGCCCCAAGAGAGCATGCACCTGAAAGGCTGACTACAGACAGACAAATACTATATATATACAATATGAATATATATAGCAATTTTGATGAACTTTTGTTCAATTCTAGTTTTTAATTTATTGTATTGCTTCATTCTGGTAATGAGAAATAATATAATGTTTTGTGGATTCTTTTGTTTTCTGTTATTTTCTTCTGTTGAATTGTTATTATTTGCTGTATGGTATTTATGAACACACGCTCATTACAAATACACACATTCAAACAAAAGTTCAAGCAAACGACATGTGCTGTTCCTTCTTTTGAGAAAGTGATGTATGAGTTTGAGATACACTTTCTTGCTGAGTGATTACCATTCACATTCTGGCGACATGATACTCCGAAAGCAAAGTTTTTGCCTCTTGTTTTGTAGAAAGAAGGGCGTCCCACTGATGAGATCCATCAGAGTAGGTCGTCTATATTGTGAGTTCAGGAGTTTGTCACAACTGAGGGCTCAATAATGACTGAAAAGACTGTTTATTTCAGCTGTGAGAAGACAAGCAAAGAGTGGCCAAACAACTCTTTGATCGCACTCATATAAGTTGAAAAATGAGCCCGACTTACAGCAGCATCAGTCCTGTGGAAAAGTGTTTGCCCCTTACTCATTGATTTTGATTTTGCTTTGCAATACAGATTAATTATATTTTGTGATCAGGTCAAGTTGGTTTGGATGGTTTTTAATATCTTAACAAATGAGATCAGCGTTTTCAACGTTATTTTGTATTTACTGTACATGTTTTTGATAGCATGAAAGACGTCAGTTTGAGGCAAAAAAATGCTAAATCAAAACAAATGTTCAAGGGGCCAATACTTTTTGACATTGTGTATGCAAACAGGTACACACTTTCACGGTTTTAAGACCCACTCCGAGCCAGCATCACATGGTTTCCTACAACAGCTGAAACTAGACAAACATTCACATCACAATTTATGGTCCTTATGCTTACATTATATTCACACATGAATCCCTACATGCACCCGTTCGTTCATTCTCAGGGGATCTATGGTGAGCCAAGCCCAACACAGGGTACACAGCTGCTGGTACATCAGCACAATGCATGTCCATGAAGCACCCTCTCTCTGTTTTTAAAATCATTTAGAAATTTCCAAAGCTTTGATCACAATAGCATAACACAATTGGAAGAAATCTAATCAGGACCTTCATTTTTTTAAAGGGGAAAGAAAGAAAGTAAACTCACTCTCCTGGCGTGAGAAGGATTATTTATTTATAGTGTAAAATGTGTTGATATTTTTATTCTGACCCTGGATTAGCTTTACTGTCTGGCGATCTCTGACCTTTTGACCTTATGCTGCTACAGCTACAAGTTCAGATAGTCATGTGTTTCCTGAGGAACCTTTTCCCCCTTTTTCCCTATATTTTTAAGAATTGTTATTTATGCTATATAACAAGAATGATGCAGGCTGTCCCATTTGCTACATTGTTATTATTATTATTATTATTATTATGGTACATAGCCACGCATCTAAGAACACTGATAAATCTGACAAGTTTGTAAAATGAAATCCTGATACCTTAGGCTGCTTGATGCAAAAATACCTCAGGTTCTATTGAAAGGCTTTTCCTTCCCCTGTACATGTTTTGTGAAAATGAGACAAAAATACAGACATGACAAAATACATACCTCTTGTCTGTTTCAGCTTCTTGTGTGTTTGTACTGTATGCATGGGGTACAGACATGGGACTGCCTAATAATCCAAGAACAAAAACAAGACAACTGAGTTTTGAGCAGATTTTCAACACTTAGGTGGCATGATGGATGGATGGATGGATGGATGGATGGATGGATGGATGGATGGATGGATGGATGGATAGATGGATAGATAGATAGATAGATAGATAGATAGATAGATAGATAGATAGATAGATAGATAGATAGATAGATAGATAGAATATTTATTTTTCCAACTTGTAGAAAACCTAAAGCTCAGATCAAAATGTTTCTCAAAAAGTATTTCCTTGGTTAATAATAATCTAAAATTGAATGTTGTAAGTAAAAACAGCACAAAATGATCTGGGACACATAACCCAGTATGAAGGTGCAAATATATTGTATTTATGTCAGATAAAAATATCCAACTTAAAAACCTTATTTTAATATTCTTTAGGGAAAAGCTCTAAAAATATACTATTTTGACAGCTGCATGAATTATAATTTTTGTTTTAGTTTTTTTTTTTTTTTTTGTAAGAAGTTTAAATGTAAGTAGATTTATCCTTTGGGTAGATTTTTCCCATTCATATCCCAATTAAATGTTTTTAACCCTTTATAGGGGACTCAGTGAAAAACTTTGAAAATGAAAAGTTTCAAGCCAAGAGTGTTATTGAAATCCATCACAAGAACTTATTACCTTTGCAATATTGAAAAATATGCATATTTTAATGGCCAATATAATACCAATGTAATATAAAGAAACAACCATTTACAGTAATATATATATAAAAAGCAAAAAACAACAGCTCCTCTATAAAAGAAAAATTCAGTAAAAAAAAACGCTCAGAGTGAAAGAAACACTTTTTTTGTTATCTCATAACCTTATAGAACATTAATGCTGATACAGGCGCTTACATTTTTTGCTTTTTAACTTAGCTTATTCATTTTTAACTTTTCAATTAGCTTTTTAACTTCTTTCTTAACTTGTTAACTTTTTTTCAACTTAATTTAAAGTAGGTAATATATAGTTCGAGGGCTGATTTAATTGCTCAAATACCAAAACTACATCTACACCCATGTAGTAGTACTGTATATTTGCCAATAGGCTGGATAACAATCTTGTGCTTCTAGATCTCACTGAGTGGGGACTCCATTTGTAAGGGGTATGCAAGGGTTTTAAAAGTGTAACTTGCTCTATAAAGGGCTATAAATGTGATTAGAAAATGTAAAAGTGCCGTTAAATCAAGGATGTATGGGCTTACCAAAACTCATACTTTATGTATTTTGTCTTAAACATTTACCTTATTGATCTTTAACATCTAAGAGAGCACCCCCATGGTTTGAAATGGAAAATAAAGCAAGCATGCCTCTCAATCCCCAAACAAATGACTACTGACTTCTAGCTGAAGACCCATCCAGTCTTTACTCATTTACATTTTGGCAATACCTACAGGTGAGATATTAGTTATTTTCAGTGTTTAGCTTCCAACTAACTGTCTTAAATAAATCCGCTCTGGTTAATAACTCTCTTAAAATGACACAGAAATCCTCTCTAAATATTATTCTAAAATAATTCAACAAAATAGTGATTTACCAGTCACACTGAACATATCTGGGAGGGACCTGAAGCTGTCATTTACTCAATTAGGTTGGAATAAAAATGTGTCAAAACTTGAAAAAAAAAAAACTCTCTTAAGAAATCAGGTGAGATTAATACAATTTAAGCATCATTACTAGAAACCAATAAGGTTACACAGATGCAGACTTAAGGATATTTCACATTTTTGGAAATGCCAGAGCCTAGAGGGTAATCTGCTTCAGAAATAGTAATCTTAGCATAACATAAGTTCTTGTATCAATAAAAAAAGGCAGGTGATGTTTTTGAATTCTTCCCCAGACTACATGTGCTTAGTGACCCAGTGCTTAGAGCATGCCAAAGCACACAACTAATTTTAATAGTAATAATAATACTTCAATTCAATCCAGGTGTTTTATATATATAGCGCCAATTCACAACAGATGTTATCTCAAGGCACTTTACAGAGACAATTCAACCAGATCATACAGTCAAATTGATTTAAGATTTTCTATATGTGGAAAACCAGTTGATAGCATCAATTAATTGACTTGAAGGCAATACCTTTCACCAAGCATGCTTGTAGTGACAGTGGAGAGAAAAAAAAACTACCTTTTAACAGGAAGAAACCTCCAGCAGAACCAGGGACAGTGTGAGCGGCCATCTGCTGAGGCCGACTGGGACCCAAGGAGACAGAAGCAGACATACAGAAAGAATGAGGAGATAAATAGGCACTGTCCATCAACTCCTCAGGTGACCCCGGCCATGAAACTCACAGCCAGGCAGACAAGCTCTGAGCCAGCTCCAATGTCAGATGATGAAGAGAGCACATCCAGCCAGTCTCAGTCAGAGAAACAGGACTACACTGAAAAACAGGCCAAGCTCCATAAACAAAAGTGTTGATGGCAGCAGCACAACTGATATATTTCTGCGGGATGACGTCACAGCCAAATAGGAAAAGACCAGATGAAACTACTATGAGAAAAACTAGATAAGTAGATAAATGGTAGATATGTTCTGTTAAGGGAAGTAAAATGTATTGTTATTAATGTAGTATAAAATACAGTATTATAGAATATCTGAGGCTATGTTTCTACAGATAAAAAGAATTATGCTGTTCTTTGCCTAACAGAAACCTGGCTTAACAGCGAGATTCCAGACTCTTACAAATGAACGGTTTTCAGCTTTACAAGTGAACCTACACGTCTGATCAGAGAAAAGGAGGAGGAGGTAAGGTTACTAGCCACTGGTCTGAGCCTAGGAATGTATGACAGTGAAATGTCTGCTGTTCTGTCTGCCATGGGAATTTACTGTTAAGCATTGTTTACATCCCACCGGGAGCTAAAGGAAATGAAGTATCAATGGAGCTGTATGACAACATTAGCTCGATAAAGGCCTTTATGCGGGGGACTTTAATCATGTGAAAGTGATGGAGACTGAACAGTTTTTAGCAGTATTTCACCTTTTACCAAAGAGGGAAACTGTCTGGACTGGGCGTACACTAACATTAACTATTGGAGTTCTCTGCTTTAACCAACAGTATGTAGCCTGACGTAGTCCGACTCAATTCTAGGCAGAATATGAGTCTGATACTGCTCCATAGAGCTGTGATTATGGGGCGTGTTTCGAACGAACCAGGAAAAAAAATGCCTCTGCACTCAATTGG